GCGCTAAAACACAAACATACTGACAAGATCTTTCTGTAAAATACAGCAGCTAACGGCGAGATCAGAGATGTTCACGTTACTTACAATTCCAAACGTTTTCAAATGGTTTTTCTGCCGATCAACGAAGGGGTCATTGTTGTTGTTGTTGTTGGTTTATGTTTTATTTTTTGGAGGGAGGCTTATTTCTGTTTTTGTTTTTATTTTTTGGTGTTGTTTTTTTTAAATACCACCATTCGCATCTGACGTCACTTATGAATAATCAGAAACAAATCATATACCCCAGACATTTTGCAAGACGCAAAAAACAACAACAGACAAAAGAAGTGGTGCGATATGAGAGATTTACATGATAGTATACTTCACAAGCAAATCCTGTGATTCCGCCACTCCTCTCTCGCGCTGTGAGTGCCCACTGGCAGGTTCCGCACAGCAGGGTCCAGGAACATACGACGCTCGACAAAATTCGCCTGGTCACTAAGACATGACTGATATTTGAGTGAGCGAAATCTTGCATCACGCTTATTATCACCTTCGGAATTCGCGGCCAGTCTCACTCCTGTCGCTTCGGATTGTGTTAGGAAGGACGTCAGGTGCCTTTCGGCAGGCTATAGACCCACTCACTGCGGCTGCCACTATTTACATTTGTGAGGCAGCGTGGTGGAATCAGGCTCTCGTCCAAATTATCAAAGTGAAGAAACTTGCATTTTTCCTCAGGTTTGTGAATTTTTATCAAATTTGTGTTTTTTTGGCTCAACACTTTTCATGCCCATTAAAGAACTCATTTCTGTTTGGATTTTTCTGAAAAACATTGATTAAAAGCACAAAAAATGAAAATGTTCTGTTACCACTGACTCTTAAGCTAAGAAAACAACAAAACTTTGGCGGCCATATTCTCACTAATTTTACCTCTGAAAACAGGTAACCCCCACCTGTTTCATTCGCAAATATCTCGACTTGCATTCAAGATAAATGGATATTATTTTCATCCAAATAAAGACTAGTGAACAAGCTATAAGATGATACCAATAACTCTACATGCCCAAAAATTGACGAGAGCCTGATTCCACCACGCTGCCACTATTTACATTTCTTGTTGGTCTAGACGTTCCAAGAGAAGTGCGTAAGCTGACAAAACGCCTTTTATTTGTTCACAGAAGATTTGAGAAAAAGAGTTGTTTTTAAATTGTCAGCGTAACCATTTCAAAATAGCGTTATTCCGAAATTTGAATCCTCATTTATTATTTAAAACTAGTCAGTTCCATTATGATTCGAGACTTAGTACTTTTTTTTTGACATTATCCAAGATGACGGACACTGTTGTTTATAGTTGTTGCTGTTGTTATTGTTGTTGCTGCTGTTGTTGTTATATTGTTGTTGTGGGAGTTGTTGTTGTTGTTGTAATATCATTATTTAATTATTATCCTCGTTAAAGTGGTTATTTTTATCCTTCTTTTTAAACTTTTTGGGTCGATTTTAATCATTATAGACACTATTGTTGTTGTTACTGTTATGTTTGTTCCCAGAGTGTTAATTCATTAAATTTAGTTTTTCTTGGTGAATTGAATTGAGGGAAAGGGGGGGGGGGGGGATGACAGGCGACGGGTTCTAGACTAGGTGACCTCTCGGATGAAATAATCCTTTTCTGTCTCTAACCTAGCCCAGCCACAGCGTTCAGTTTGAAGTAATCTATTACAACTAGTTTGTAAACCTGAACCCACTACCCTCGATTATATCATTAAATTAAGATATTTTCTATCCAAAGATCCCCAGACATTACATGAATGCCGTTCCAAGTCCCAACTGGGGAGACACTTTCATTTAATCGCAAGGATCCTAATGGTGTTTTTACTGGACTTGCGGTCAAAATGTGGGCAGAGTCGCCATTAAATCTATCCCATCAGAGGCCTTAAGCTGAGAACATCCAAGAGGGAAACGATGCTTAAAATATAATAATAGATAATAATAGATAGCATTTGTAGCCTATATAGCGCAAATCCTCGCTCAACAGCAAGCTCTTAGGGCTTCACAATCTATACTACTACCCCCAGCAGACCTGAGAGCATTCTAAAACAACCTCAACTTCTTCGGAAGCATACAGTGCAATCAGCCATTTATAGGCGCTAAAACACAAACATACTGACAAGATCTTTCGCTGTCTATGGCCGGGTACCCATTCCCACCTGAGTGAAATAGGGAAAATTCGTGTAAAGTGCCTTCCCCAAGCACACAACGTCGGGCCCGCGGCTCGAACCGCTGACCCCGCAACATCTATCTATCTATCTATCTATCTATCTATCTATCTATCTATCTATCTATCTATCTATCTATCTATCTATCTATTCAGAAGAAAGACACACTCAACCAACTATCAATTCTAATTTATCATTCTTATCCCCTCTAAGAGGACTTCGTCAATGACCTAGATCCCTTCTGCCTAACAAGTATAATTACTGACCAACGGGGTTCTGGTTCAACACACTGCAGTAACTTCTAGACGTCATTCCGACGGGTAGCAAAATTAGTATAGCTAAGGCGTACGGCTGTTGATGAATAAACATGCTTGTTAGGTCGCTTTATAAACATTTGACAATGAAAGTCATGGAAGGGCTTTTAAAAAGAAAATAAGCTCTAAGCTCTTTCCTTGACTTCAAATACGAATATTAATGTGATCATTATGTTTGTTAAAAGAGTTTATTAATTGGGGAATTACAATTTACGGAAACATTAGTTTCTTGTAAAAATGATATAAAAATAAGTAACAAATGTTGCCTTTGAAGAAATAGGTGTACCATAAGTATTTTTCATTAAATCACAGCCCTCAAACCGAAGAAATCTGCAACAAAGTACCGTGCTTTGAAATTACTAGCGGGTTTACATCCCCACAAAACCTTTGAAGTCTCCTGAAATAATGATGAAAGCAGACCTAACACTTTTTGAGAAAACTTTGTGAGATTTTGTTTGAGGAGGGTATTAAAACCTAAAAGAGATGGGAAAAACCCGTAGATAAGATTCGCCTTCGTGTAATCCTTTAAGTTCTTAACTAAATAATTCATTAGCGCACGCAGCACATCCCCCCCCCCCCCACACACACACATACACATACACACACACACACACACACACACACACACACACACACGCACGTACACGTATACCCACACCCCAACACATCAATTTTTTAATTATACATACATACATTCATATATATATTGAACGCTATTAAAAACGCAACGTTTCCAAAACATAAAAAAGGCAAATAATAATATTCTCTGATCGTCATGATTTTTGGAGGAACAAGTGAGCAGTTGTTAGTCCACACACCTATGTACGATGTTAGCTATTCCCATTAATACTTTTCGTCACTTAACTACAATAAACTATGCTGGATTAAAATGTGTCCATTAGTTGCTATATATTACAAACGATAGGTGGCCTGTAAAAGTTCAAGACTTAATGGGATGAGTAGAAGGCTATGGAATCAACCATTGCTTGGAACCGTTAGCATCTACACACTACGAGATGAGCTTCTTCAGGGGACGGAGCGCTTATTGGGGATTCTCCTTTTGCAGTGATGTCGGTCCATCACACAAGTAACAAGTAACAAGTATCTATCTATCTATCTATCTATCTATCTATCTATCTGTCTATCGATCTGTCTATCGATCTATCTATCTATCTATCTATCTATCTATCTATCTATCTATCTATCTATCTATCTGGGCTGTAAGGGTTGAGGGTGAAACCCCAGACGCTCTTTGGCAAGCCAGCCTCAACCAAGTCAACTCCCCGCCCGTGTCGAACAGCCTGGGGACCCCTGCTCTGTGTATAGGAGCAGGGGTTGCAGACGGAGCTCTGGCCTGGAGGTACCATAGCCCTGTGAGGTGCAAAGTGAGGAACGACTCTTCGGCTCGTAGAAGGGTCCATACACATCCACCATTATGGTAGGTCTGGCGTCACAGCAGGCCAACCAGTTCATTCAGGAATTTACTCTCGACATCTTCTTTCCTCCCTCTCGTGGGAGCTCTACAGACGGGGCATGGTACCCACAGACTGCCAGATAACTCGTTGTGAGATGTCTCTGCGGACCCAGAAGGCCTTGTAGCTGTAAGGAATAGGCTGCCTGGAAACAGATGACGTCCCCTCAGATATCCTGGCAAAAGCTCGCTGACCCATGACGTGACGACCCTCTGTCTGAGTAGATGTGACCATCCTTTGGATTATTCTACCCCATGAACGGAAATAGTGATAGCAGTTAGCCAGAAGATAGCAGATGGTGGGGATTGGGGAAACGCAAGCTACGCTTGGTGATGTGGACAAATCACTGTGGAAGGAACGCGTTACCCCTTACTCAATGGGACCCCTTACTGGACTGCTCGGACGATCACTGGCCATTGGTTGCACTTTGTGACTCCCATCTCACATAGAGTGTGCCTACACCCTCTATAATTGTCTACTATCTAAGAAATCCCCGTGAAGGTTGATGGAAAACAGGACAGCAAACATTGCACCTAATCTGAGGCAGCGTGGTGGAATCAGGCTCTCGTCAAAATAATCAAAGTGAAAAAACTGGCATTTTTCCGCAGGTTTGTGAATTTTTATCAAAATTTTTTTTGGGCTCAACACCTTTCATGCCCGTTAAAGAACTCATTTCTGTGTGGATTCTCTGACAAACGTTGATTAAAGGCAAAAAAAAATGTAAATGTTCAGTTACCACGGACTCTTTAGCTATGGAAATAAACTAATCTTTGGCGGCCATTTTCTCATTAACTTTACCTTTGAAAACAGGAAACCCCCACCTCCTTCATTCGCAAATATCTCGACTTGCATTCAAGATAAATTGATATTTTTTTCATCCAAATAAAGACAAGTGAGCAAGCTTTAAGATGATATCAATAACTCTACATGCCCAAATTTTGACGAGCGCCGGATTCCACCACGATGCCTCACCTTTGTTCTCTTGTGGCAAGATGTTTAGGCACAAGCCAGTGTCAGGACAAGACTACCACCTACCTGAGATCCTACAGGGATGCATACAAGCCTTTACAACCCCCAAGCCAATAGAATCAACGATAAATGAAACTATACGAGCTCGGATGTCGCCTCGGTTATCAAGGTCCGTGCTATCTGCCTTCACCCGGGAGCGGGAGTGACAAGTCAGCTACTGGGACCCACACTGCAGGTATAGGGGCCACAAGCAACACTCAGACACGACTGACTCCCCAACCTACAGACACACAGACATTGAATATACTCCAACTGAACATCTCATCACAACAGGAAAAGAAAATGGAACTTGCAAAGATGCTGTCAGACTTACAAATTCATGTAGCTCTGCTACAGGAAACCCAACTACCCAAGCGAATAGAGTTCCATTTGACAGGCTACACAATGTACCTCTGCAAGTGCTCCAAATGTCAAGGTGTCGCAACCCTCATTCGGAATGACATCACCGCTGAGGTTTCTCACCCCGAAACCGATGACGAGACTGACATGCAGGAAGTTAAATTGCAGCAGTCGGATGGAACAACCATCTACAATGTATACTGCCCACCGAGAACTACTCTCCAGCTGAACTTCCGTGTGTGGAGACAGGGACTGTTCTTCAGACTGCAAAAGCTGGATCAAGAAATTTCTGTTTTGCAGAACTATCCAGACATCATGTGTCAGCAAGATTTCTTCACAGAGGACACTCGGGGACGGCCTTCCACAGGGGT